GAGCGGAGAGGAGCGGAGAGGAGCGGAGAGGAGCGGAGAGGAGCGGAGAGGAGCGGAGAGGAGCGGAGAGGAGCGGAGAGGAGCGGAGAGGATGCGGAGAGGAGCGGAGAGGAGCGGAGAGGAGCGGAGAGGAGCGGAGAGGAGCGGAGAGGAGCGGAGAGGAGCGGAGAGGAGCGGAGAGGAGCGGAGAGGAGCGGAGAGGAGCGGAGAGGAGCGAGGAGAGGAGCGGAGAGGAGCGGAGAGGAGCGGAGAGGAGCGGAGAGGAGCGGAGAGGAGCGGAGAGGAGCGGAGAGGAGCGGAGAGGAGCGTGAGAGGAGCGGAGAGGAGCGGAGAGGAGCGGAGAGGAGCGGAGAGGAGCGGAGAGGAAGCGGAGAGGTGAGCGGAGAGGAGCGGAGAGGAGCGGAGAGGAGCGGGAGAGGAGCGGAGAGGAGCGGAGAGGAGCGGAGAGGCGGAGAGGAGCGGAGAGGAGCGGAGAGGAGCGGAGAGGAGCGGAGAGGAGCGGAGAGGAGCGGAGAGGAGCGGAGAGGAGCGGAGAGGAGCGGAGAGGAGCGGAGAGGAGCGGAGAGGAGCGGAGAGGAGCGGAGAGGAGCGGAGAGGAGCGGAGAGGAGCGGAGAGGAGCGGAGAGAGGAGCGGAGAGGAGCGGAGAGGAGCGGAGAGGAGCGGAGAGGAGCGGAGAGGAGCGGAGAGGAGCGGAGAGGAGCGGAGAGGAGCGGAGAGGAGCGGAGAGGAGCGGAGAGGAGCGGAGAGGAGCGGAGAGGAGCGGAGAGGAGCGGAGAGGAGCGGAGAGGAGCGGAGAGGAGCGGAGAGGAGCGGAGAGGAGCGGAGAGGAGCGGAGAGGAGCGGAGAGGAGCGGAGAGGAGCGGAGAGGAGCGGAGAGGAGCGGAGAGGAGCGGAGAGGAGCGGAGAGGAGCGGAGAGGAGCGGAGAGGAGCGGAGAGGAGCGGAGAGGAGCGGAGAGGAGCGGAGAGGAGCGGAGAGGAGCGGAGAGGAGCGGAGAGGAGCGGAGAGGAGCGGAGAGGAGCGGAGAGGAGCGGAGAGGAGCGGAGAGGAGCGGAGAGGAGCGGAGAGGAGGAGCGGAGAGGAGCGGAGAGGAGCGGAGAGGAGCGGAGAGGAGCGGAGAGGAGCGAGAGAGGAGCGGAGAGGAGCGGAGAGGAGAGGAGAGGAGCGGAGAGGAGCGGAGAGGAGCGGAGAGGAGCGGAGAGGAGCGGAGAGGAGCGGAGAGGAGCGGAGAGGAGCGGAGAGGAGCGGAGAGGAGCGGAGAGGAGCGGAGAGGAGCGGAGAGGAGCGGAGAGGAGCGGAGAGGAGCGGAGAGGAGCGGAGAGGAGCGGAGAGGAGAGGAGCGGAGAGGAGCGGAGAGGAGCGGAGAGGAGCGGAGAGGAGCGGAGAGGAGCGGAGAGAGCGGGAGAGGAGCGGAGAGGAGCGGAGAGGAGCGGAGAGGAGCGGAGAGGAGCGGAGAGGAGCGGAGAGGAGCGGAGAGGAGCGGAGAGGAGCGGAGAGGAGCGAGAGAGGAGCGGAGAGGAGCGGAGAGGAGCGGAGAGGAGCGGAGAGGAGCGGAGAGGAGCGGAGAGGAGCGGAGAGGAGCGGAGAGGAGCGGAGAGGAGCGGAGAGGAGCGGAGAGGAGCGGAGAGGAGCGGAGAGGAGCGGAGAGGAGCGGAGAGGAGCGGAGAGGAGCGGAGAGGAGCGGAGAGGAGCGGAGAGGAGCGGAGAGGAGCGGAGAGGAGCGGAGAGGAGCGGAGAGGAGCGGAGAGGAGCGGAGAGGAGCGGAGAGGAGCGGAGAGGAGCGGAGAGGAGCGGAGAGGAGCGGAGAGGAGCGGAGAGGAGCGGAGAGGAGCGGAGAGGAGCGGAGAGGAGCGGAGAGGAGCGGAGAGGAGCGGAGAGGAGCGGAGAGGAGCGGAGAGGAGCGGAGAGGAGCGGAGAGGAGCGGAGAGGAGCGGAGAGGAGCGGAGAGGAGCGGAGAGGAGCGGAGAGGAGCGGAGAGGAGCGGAGAGGAGCGGAGAGGAGCGGAGAGGAGCGGAGAGGAGCGGAGAGGAGCGGAGAGGAGCGGAGAGGAGCGGAGAGGAGCGGAGAGGAGCGGAGAGGAGCGGAGAGGAGCGGAGAGGAGCGGAGAGGAGCGGAGAGGAGCGGAGAGGAGCGGAGAGGAGCGGAGAGGAGCGGAGAGGAGCGGAGAGGAGCGGAGAGGAGCGGAGAGGAGCGGAGAGGAGCGGAGAGGAGCGGAGAGGAGCGGAGAGGAGCGGAGAGGAGCGGAGAGGAGCGGAGAGGAGCGGAGAGGAGCGGAGAGGAGCGGAGAGGAGCGGAGAGGAGCGGAGAGGAGCGGAGAGGAGCGGAGAGGAGCGGAGAGGAGCGGAGAGGAGCGGAGAGGAGCGGAGAGGAGCGGAGAGAGGAGCGGAGAGGAGCGGAGAGGAGCGGAGAGGAGCGGAGAGGAGCGGAGAGGAGCGGAGAGGAGCGGAGAGAGGAGCGGAGAGGAGCGGAGAGGAGCGGAGAGGAGCGGAGAGGAGGAGAGGAGCGGAGAGGAGCGGAGAGGAGCGGAGAGGAGCGGAGAGGAGCGGAGAGAGCGGAGAGGAGCGGAGAGGAGCGGAGAGGAGCGGAGAGGAGCGGAGAGGAGCGGAGAGGAGCGGGAGAGGAGCGGAGAGGAGCGGAGAGGAGCGGAGAGGAGCGGAGAGGAGCGGAGAGGAGCGGAGAGGAGCGGAGAGGAGCGGAGAGGAGCGGAGAGGAGCGGAGAGGAGCGGAGAGGAGCGGAGAGGAGCGGAGAGGAGCGGAGAGGAGCGGAGAGGAGCGGAGAGGAGCGGAGAGGAGGGAGAGGAGCGGAGAGGAGCGGAGAGGAGCGGAGAGGAGCGGAGAGGAGCGGAGAGAGGAGCGGAAGAGGAGCGGAGAGGAGCGGAGAGGAGCGGAGAGGAGCGGAGAGGAGCGGAGAGGAGCGGAGAGGAGCGGAGAGGAGCGGAGAGGAGCGGAGAGGAGCGGAAGAGGAGCGGAGAGGAGCGGAGAGGAGCGGAGAGAGGAGCGGAGAGGAGCGGAGAGGAGCGGAGAGGAGCGGAGAGGAGCGGAGAGGAGCGGAGAGGAGCGGAGAGGAGCGGAGAGGAGCGGAGAGGAGCGGAGAGGAGCTGCGAGGAGCGGAGAGGAGCGGAGAGGAGCGGAGAGGAGCGGAGAGGAGCGGAGAGGAGCGGAGAGAGGAGCGGAGAGGAGCGGAGAGGAGCGGAGAGGAGCGGAGAGGAGCGGAGAGGAGCGGAGAGGAGCCGGAGAGGAGCGGAGAGGAGCGGAGAGGAGCGGAGAGGAGCGGAGAGGAGCGGAGAGGAGCGGAGAGGAGCGGAGAGGAGCGGAGAGGAGCGGAGAGGAGCGGAGAGGAGCGGAGAGGAGCGGAGAGGAGCGTGAGAGGAGCGGGAGAGGAGCGGAGAGGAGCGGAGAGGAGCGGGAGAGGAGCGGAGAGGAGCGGAGAGGAGCGGAGAGGAGCGGAGAGGAGCGGAGAGGAGCGGAGAGAGGAGCGGAGAGGAGCGGAGAGGAGCGGAGAGGAGGGAGAGGAGCGGAGAGGAGCGGAGAGGAGCGGAGAGGAGCGGAGAGGAGCGGAGAGGAGCGGAGAGGAGCGGAGAGGAGCGGAGAGGAGCGGAGAGGAGCGGAGAGGAGCGGAGAGGAGCGGAGAGGAGCGGAGAGGAGCGGAGAGGAGCGGAGAGGAGCGGAGAGGAGCGGAGAGGAGCGGAGAGGAGCGGAGAGGAGCGGAGAGGAGCGGAGAGGAGCGGAGAGGAGCGGAGAGGAGCGGAGAGGAGCGGAGAGGAGCGGAGAGGAGCGGAGAGGAGCGGAGAGGAGCGGAGAGGAGCGGAGAGGAGCGGAGAGGAGCGGAGAGGAGCGGAGAGGAGCGGAGAGGAGCGGAGAGGAGCGGAGAGGAGCGGAGAGGAGCGGAGAGGAGCGGAGAGGAGCGGAGAGGAGCGGAGAGGAGCGGAGAGGAGCGGAGAGGAGCGGAGAGGAGCGGAGAGGAGCGGAGAGGAGCGGAGAGGAGCGGAGAGGAGCGGAGAGGAGCGGAGAGGAGCGGAGAGGAGCGGAGAGGAGGAGCGGAGAGGAGCGGAGAGGAAGCGGAGAGGAGCGGAGAGGAGCGGAGAGGAGCGGAGAGGAGCGGAGAGGAGCGGAGAGGAGCGGAGAGGAGCGGAGAGGAGCGGAGAGAGCGGAGAGGAGCGCGAGAGGAGCGGAGAGGAGCGGAGAGGAGCGGAGAGGAGGAGCGTGAGAGGAGCGGAGAGGAGCGGAGAGGAGCGGAGAGGAGCGGAGAGAGAGGAGCGGAGAGGAGCGGAGAGGAGCGGAGAGGAGCGGAGAGGAGCGGAGAGGAGCGGAGAGGAGCGGAGAGGAGCGAGAGAGGAGCGGAGAGGAGCGGAGAGGAGCGGAGAGGAGCGGAGAGGCGCGGAGAGGAGCGTGAGAGGAGCGGAGAGGAGCGGAGAGGAGCGGAGAGGAGCGGAGAGGAGCGGAGGAGGAGCGGAGAGGAGCGGAGAGGAGCGTGAGAGGAGCGGGAGAGAGAGCGGAGAGGAGCGGAGAGGAGCGGAGAGGAGCGGGAGAGGGAGCGGAGAGGAGCGGAGAGGAGCGGAGAGGAGCGGAGAGGAGCGGAGAGGAGCGGAGAGGAGCGGAGAGGAGCGGAGAGGAGCGGAGAGGCGCGGAGAGGAGCGGAGAGGAGCGGAGAGGAGCGGAGAGGAGCGGAGAGGAGCGGAGAGGAGCGGAGAGGAGCGGAGAGGAGCGGAGAGGAGCGGAGAGGAGCGGAGAGGAGCGGAGAGGAGCGGAGAGGAGACATGCCGTGTTCATGTGTTGCTGCTTCCCTTCCCCGTCACCCCATCTCCTTGCTATCAACATCTTATCCCATGTCCCTGCCACATCCCCCATTCAGGCGGGGCGGGGGTGAACTGGGTAGCAGTGGAGTTGCACGAGGCGGAGGGAGTGACCAAGAGCTCGTTTGACCTGAACATGACGCGTCATACCATCCACCCCTGCCATTATCCCCTGTGCCTGTCACAACCCACTGTCCCTTCGTGCAGGCGGGGGTGAACTGGGTGGCAGTGGAGTTGCACGAGGCGGACGGGGCGGCCAACAGTGTGTTTGACATGAACATGACGCGCCACACCGTCCAGCCATGCTCCGCACTGCCCAAGGCGCCCAAGGCGTGCGTGCGCAACCCACCCACCGACATCCCCATCATCTGGGTGCGTGCGTGCATGCATTCGTGTGTGCCTGTTTGCGTGAAATGAGACAAGCTTTGAGTCGACTCAAGACTCTGTGCAACCCACCCACCGACATCCCCATCATCTGGGTGCGTGCATGCGTGCATGTGTGCGTGTGAAATGACATGAGTTTTGAGTGGACTCAAAACTCTGCGCAGCCCACCAGCTGGCACCGGCATCATTGGGGTGTGTGCGTGCTCCTGTGTGCGTGCGCGCGCGCATGCGTGTGCGTGTGTGTGTGTGTGTGTGTGTGGGTGCACTGCATGTGTGCATGTGTGTGTACCCTACATGTGAGGTGGCTCAAAACCGTATCTGGGTGCATGCATGTGTGCGTGTGTACGTGTGTGAGTTGCAGGTGGCAGGTAGGTGGTAGGTGCTTCTCACAAGCTTCGAGAATGACAGTCTTGTTGTTGAATTCCTTGAACTTCCAGAAATTAACTACCCGCATCTGCATGCATCGTGCTGGGCCATATGTTTGCTTTCGCACGCATATCCACACACACACACACACGCACACACAACACACACACATGCACACACACAACACACACACACACACACGCACACAACACACACACACACACACGCACACACAACACACACACATACACACAACAAAGAACTTAAGTGTGGATGGGGGTACCCTTGTTCTTCTGCCCGCATGCTTTTCCGTGCCCCTCCCTCCCTCACTGTGAGCAGGGCTGGTCTGATGATTGGGCGTACCTTGACGCCTCTTCCAATCTCCCTCCCGCCAACTGGAACAAGCCCACATTCTCGCATGATTCATGGAAAACAGGTGCTGTCGCCACTCCTTGTGTTCTGAGGCGGTTTCTGAGGGGCGCCTCTGAAACTGCCACCACTCCGTGCCATGTCATGTTGCATGCATAGTGCTATGCAATGCTGTATTGTGCTGTGCCATGGTGTGCCATGCCGTGCCATGCCATCCCATGCCATGCCGTTCCCTACCATGTTCAAGCATTCTTGTTGCAACTGCTACTTTCCTTTTCCCCCCTCCTCCCCCTCTCCTTCGCACTCTCTTCTTCCCTTTCCTCTCCCCCTCTCCACTCCCCCTTTCCTCTCTCCCTCTCTTCTCCCCCTCTCCCCTGTCCTCTCCCCCTCTCCTTCCTCCACCACCACCCACTCCCACTCCCTCCCCGTCGCACATACAGGCCCTGCGCCTCTGGGCAACGAGGGGTGGGACGTGCGCACGACAATAGCAACGGGCGCCAGCGAGGGTAATGGGCGGCGAACATACTACTTCCGCAAGGTGGTGACTCTGCCGGACGGCAAGTGCTACTTCCGCCTCCTGCTCTCCGTGCTGGGACAGGATGGACTGGTGAGCAGCGTGTTCCCGGGCAGGACCGACTGGAGAGAGGCTTGTGCTGGGGCACTGTGATGTGGGAAGGGTTACAGTGTGGGGCAGGATGGTGAAGTGTTGGGAAGTGGGTGGTCATGTGGCTGTAAGTGGCTTGAAGCATACATGCTGTGAAAAATGCACTTGAGATGGGGCGTGGGAAGGGGGGGTGAGGGTAAGCGGGGCAGAAGGAGGGAATTATGGGCCCATTTCTCGACACTGCACTCATTCACGTGGTCTACATCATACAAGGTTGTTTCCGAGAGTCTCATAAATCCCCCGCACATCCATCCCTCTGTCCCATCTACCCCAGGTGGTGTACATAAACGGTGCAGAGGCAGGGCGGTCCAACATGCCTCTCGGCCCAATCACTTCCGCCACGCCTGCCAGAACCGAGGGGCCTTGGGACTACCGGCGCTTCGATATCTCAGGGGGGTTCTTAAGGACGGGGAGCAACCTGATCGCTGTGGAGGTGCACGAGGCGCTGGACACGAGCACCAACTATTTCTTTGACCTGGAGCTGCTGGGGCAGCGGGAGGCCGTCTCGTGCCTGCCACTGCCAAGTTATTAGCCGACTCTAGAACCGAGGATCCTTGGGACTACCGGCGCTTTGAATTGAACTCTCAGGGGGCTTTTGACTGGGTGAGGGTGTAATTTGGTGGGTGTGTGAGTGAGGTGAGGTGGGTGCGAGAATGCACCTACCAGGACTGGGCTACAGTGCTAGCCCGAACACTAGCCTCTGTTGATGGTGCTCCCTTTAGACCAGCCACCAGCATGTGTGTGCTGCTGGTGACTCTTAGGTGGTAGTGGCACTGAGAGGATAGATCATGGCTGCATGAGGGTGACTCTTAAGGGTCTGTTTCCACACATGTACGTGTATATATAACATATATCTATTTGCCTAAATAAATATTGACTACGGTATATCCTCGGTGTGTTGAGGGAGTGAGTGAGGAGAGGGGGTGTGAAACTGGGGGAGATAGTGAGGGGGGTGTATTGTAGAGCTTGCTTGCGATAAATTTCAAGTCTCTTTATACCATTCTCAATAAGCTTGTTCTACACCCAGTCTGTATGAGCAGCACGAACACAAACAGCACTAGGAAGGGAATAAAGGAGTGGCTTGTGCAGTATGGGTGTATGCGTGCGTTAGAGTGCGTGCGTGCGTGCGTGCTTGCTTTCGCGTGCGGATTCACATCGCTCGTGCAACACCGGTTCTCAAATGAGTAAAACTGGTAGTTTATAACGAAATCCCCGAGTCAGACAGAGTCTGATATGAGGCTTGTCTGACTAGAGGCCGTAGGAACACACCCTTACTAAGTTGAACAAGACGAACAAGCATGACATACCTTACCGTGAATTTGTTACGTGTGCATAGAAACGAATATCGAGGACTGCACTAAAGGGTACCTTAATTAATACACGGCAACTGTCAGAGTTTGGTACAGAAACCCGAAGATTTGAGGGATGTTGTCCTGAACACGTTTTCACAGAACTACTGTACATCTCTTTCTTGAAATGCGTGGAATTTGTCGGTGGGCTTGTTGATTCACGTTGACTTATTGATTGGCTCCCATTTAAAGTTTTAGTGGATCAATATCGTGCGCATCAACCAGTGCTTTACTTGATTGTGTAAGTGCTAGTCCGCAATGTCGTAAGTGCGTCTGAATAGGAATCTGTAAGCAACAACGGCTAAATCAGGCCCTAGAAAACGGGATGTATTGAAGGGTATGAACCCTGAAACCCCTCTTCTTGAACCGCGTAGCCTTCTCTAGCCCATGGCTCCATCAACATCAGGAGTAGTATACATAGTGCAACATGCAGGCCTTGTGAATCTGCGGGCGAGATAGTGTTGTATGTGCGAGTTGAGCAGCATGTACAGTTCGACATGTTAGAGGGCTGGAGGAGAGGAGACTCAGATTCAAGCTGGACCTTCCTACCACGTGCCTATGCACGAATTCTACTGATGGCATTTTGCGGTGTGTTTGTTCTTTCACTTTGGCCAGGCATAGAACCCGGCCAAGCGTGTCTTTCACCTTGGCCATCTCACTTGGAAAAAGCACCACAGGAAAGGCGCCGCGAAAGTTGTCTCCCTCCCTCCGTACCACCCCGCACTCTACCCCAGATCCCTCTTTCGCTTCCATCCCTCCTGTCCTCCGCGCCCTACCGCAGCATCAGCACATGGAAGTGCCACTTCCATGGGAGACGTCTCGTACAAGTTGTAACGCACCACCTCCGTGGTTGTTACGACACAGTGCTACTGTACCAGCGTAAATTTGCATGAATATGTACGGCTAGCTTGACGGAATCAACCAAAATCCTAGCCAGTCGGCGACGTCGCCGTTTCACGCGACGTTCCCGCGCGCGCAGAGCGCAGGAGGAATCCGTGCGGTCACTGTATAGAACACAAATCCTCAGTTCCCCAAGCGTGCCAGATAGTGATACATTCAGTGCGGTTGAATACGGCGCGTGGGTTAAGAACCCGTTTTCATGCGTCACCGACTGTCATGAGCATCAGAAAAGAATATTCAGAATTCAGTAGATGTGCTATCGGGACACGCCTTTCACGCCACCCCCTTCAGCTGCTGACAGGTGGTGGTAACCCTAAAGCCGGCAGACACAGCACCTCCCGCAACAATCCGCCAATTCCACCGTATCAAACCACACCGTGGTTGATCACCTCGATTACTAGCACCCATCCATACATAATCCCAATCCATTTCAGTTCCAAGTATCACTCGTAGTACTATCACCGTCGCAGCCATCGTGGCGTCCGCAGCGGTTGCACCACACATACATTTCATAACCATGGCCTCCGCCGCTCGCCCGCCGACCTCTCGCACCAGCCACCGCCGCTCCGCCTTTTCCCGCCGCTTCCGCGCATTGTCTCCGCTCTCAGCGCTGCTCCTCGCCGCGTGCTGCCACCTCGCACTCTTCCCGAACCGCGGGGTCCTGCCCGTGGCGCGTGCGACGCCGCAAGTCCCGTGGGACAACTTCAAATCGCCGTGCACGCCGCTCTTGGACCCTCCCTCCGCCGGTAAGTCACTGTCGGCGGTGACGGTCGTCCACTGCGACGGCCTCCGCGAATCCCGCGGTCCAACGCAGTGTAATGCGGTTCATATGAGGGGCACATGGCCGCCGCTCACCTGGTGTTACCGCTCTCTTCCTTACTCCGCCCTCTCCCTCCTACCTTTCTCCCCACGCTCCGTCCCGTTCTCTCATCCCGTTCTCTCCTTCCCGCCCTCTCCCTCCTCACTTCCCCCCTCTCCCCCCCTCTTCCCTCTCCACGTCCCCTTCTCTCCCCGCCCGTTCCTTCCAGGCTTCAAGCTGTGGAGCAATGCGGGCACGTGGCCGGGGGGAGTGGTGCCGGGCGTGGGGGCGGGCAAGGGCGCCATCGCCACCATCCCGTGCGGGGTGGCTGTGCTTCTCGACATGCCCTCTGTCGTCCTCTCCACTCTCACCATCCGGGGCATGCTCAAGTGAGCTGGAGGGATGAGTCGTGAGCAGGAGAGAGAGGAAGGGACGGAAGGGGAGAGAGCGTGGATGGGGGTTCCTATTGGAGGGATGAGCTAGACGCTCTAGCCTGCTCCTTTTCCGTCTCCTCATCCCCCGCACTTGCTCCCCCCTTCGTCTCCCCTTTTTCCCCATCCCCTTTCCCCTGCCCCCCGAGTCCCCCTTGAATCCCCCCTGAATCCCTCCTTAATTCCCCCCCCCCCGACTCCCCCCATGTGCTATTGGCAGGATCGAGGACACGCCGTCACGGCCGCTGGTGCAGGTGAACGCGTCGTTTGTGATCGTGGAGGGGCAGCTGATCGCAGGCAGCAGCGCAAAGCACTTCTCTCAGAAGGTCGTCTTCACGCTCACGCACAACCCCAAGGGGCGCGCGCCCTACCAGTACACCGCCAACGCACCCGCTGATCCCGCCAACCCCCGCAACTTCGGCCACAAGGCCTTCGTCGTGGTGCGTGCCGTGCTGTGTTCTGCTGTGCAGTGCAGTGCCAGGTGTCCCACCTGTTATGGTGGCCCCTTACCCATCCCCATCCCCATCTCCACCACCCCCACCCCACCCCGCTCGTCCCCAGGTGGGAGGGCAGGTGCGCATGCACGGCATGCCGGGGGGCTCATCCACTCCTTCCTGGTGCCGCCTGGCAGCGACAGCACAGGAGGGCGATCGGGCCATCATCGTGGACCGGGACGTCACCGCATGGCCCGTGGGCTTCTACGTCGGCCTCGCCTCCACCGACTTCTATGCCGACCAGATCGACGTCGCCAAGATCGTTCGTGGTCAGTGAGTCGCGTCCTGTGTCGCTTGAGCCGCTGGAAGAGATTTTGAATGAGTCATGTGTCCTGTGAGTCTTGAGTTGCGCCACTCAAAAGTCATCTCGGCTTCACGCCACTTCCCCCATGCCAGCCACTCTTGTGAATCCGAAAAAATACCTAAGTCTGCATCCTCCTCATCACTCGTCTCCCCCTTGCTGCAGTGACGGCGGTGGGCGGCAGCAAGTGGAAAGTGGCGCTGAGCGCGCCGCTCTCCTACAGCCACTTCGGAGAGGTGGTGCCCGACGGGTTCGGCGGCACAATCGACGAGCGCGGGGAGGTGGTGCTGCTCAACCGCACAGTGACCATTCGAGGGGAGGACGAGGCGGCACCTTACAACTGGGAGGGCGGGCACTTCATGGTGTTCTTCACTCAGACCGCGCAGCTGATAGAGGGCGTGGAGTTCGCCCAGATGGGGCAGCAGGGGCAGCTGGGGCGTTACAACATCCACTTCCACCTCTGTGGGAATCAGGCGGGGAGGAGCGTGGTGCGCAAGAACGTCATGCATGACAGCAAGCAGGTGGGGCTGTGTGGGAGCTGTGTGCTGTGTGCAGCGCTAATTCCACTTCATGCTCCCATCCTCCGCTCCCCCATGCAGCGCTGTGTGGTGGTGCACGCCACCTTCAACCTGTCTGCCCCCTTGCACTCTCCCACCCTCCCCTCTCCTCCCATGCAGCGCTGTGTGGTGGTGCACGCCACCTTCAATCTGACGGTGGAGGAGAACGTGGCGTTCAACACGAGAGGGCATTGCTTCATGGTGGAGGAGGGCGGCGAGCAAGGCAACTCCTTCATCCGCAACCTTGGCATCTGGACGCGCCCAGGTAAGAACGTCGGCATCTGGACGCGCCCAGGTAAGAACGTCGGCATCTGGACGCGCGCAGGTAAGAACGTCGGCATCTGGACGCGCCCAGGTAAGAACGTCGGCATCTGGACGCGCCCAGGTAAGAACATCGGCATCTGGACGCGCCCAGGTAAGAACGTCGGCATCTGGACGCGCCCAGGTAAGAACGTCGGCATCTGGACGCGCCCAGGTAAGAACGTCGGCATCTGGACGCGCCCAGGTAAGAACGTCGGCATCTGGACGCGCCCAGGTAAGAAAGTCGGCATCTGGACGCGCCCAGGTAAGAACGTCGGCATCTGGACGCGCCCAGGTAAGAACGTCGGCATCTGGACGCGCCCAGGTAAGAACGTCGGCATCTGGACGCGCCCAGGTAAGAACGTCGGCATCTGGTAGCGCCCAGGTAAGAACGTCGGCATCTGGACGCGCCCAGGTAAGAACGTCGGCATCTGGACGCGCCCAGGTAAGAACGTCGGCATCTGGACGCACCCAGGTAAGAACGTCGGCATCTGGACGCGCCAAGGTAAGAACGTCGGCATCTGGACGCGCGCAGGTAAGAACGTCGGCATCTGGACGCGCCCAGGTAAGAACGTCGGCATCTGGACGCGCCCAGGTAAGAACGTCGGCATCTGGACGCGCCCAGGTAAGAACGTCGGCATCTGGACGCGCCCAGGTAAGAACGTCGGCGTCTGGACGCGCCCAGGTGCGTTTTGAGTCGGCGTCTGGACGCGCCAAGGTGAGCACACAGCGCTTGCATGCTGCTGATTGCACCACGCTGTGTTGCTTTCTTGCTTTTGGTGTTGTTTTTTGGCTGTGCACGTGTTGCACCATCTGCTGTGACCTGTGACCCTTTCTGTGTTCGTGTGTGCGTGGTCCTGTCTTTCTGTGTTCAGTTTTCTCTCCAGTCGACTCAATTGTTTCAACTCATTTCTCTCTGTGCGTGCGTGCGTGCGTGCGTGCGAGCGTGCGTGCGTGTGGGTGTGTGACCGCATGCATGCAGTGGAGGTGAAGATATCAAGCGAGGAGACGGATGACGAGCCATCCACATTCTGGATCACCAACGCCAACAACAACTACATTGGGAATGTGGCCGCCGGCTCAGAAGACACCGGGTGGGTGGCTGCCTGGGTGGCTGTCTGGGTGGGTGGCTGTTAGGGTGGGTATTCCTGGGAGCAGAACGGATTGGCAGGCTTTCACCTTACTCCCCGCCTTCCGCACCCACCCGTCCACCATCTGCTCACTCTGTTGATTCCCCTCTTCCCTACCCTTCCCTACTCTTCCCTACTCTTCCCTACTCATCTTCCACGTGACTCCTCCGTGCGTTCATCCCCTCTCCTCTCCAGTCATTTTCTCACTGTCTATCTTCTCCTCTCTTGCTCCCTCACCTGCCTACCGTCCTACCTGCACGCCAGCAGCTTCTGGATACGACTGAGGGATTGCGTTAGAGGGGACTGTTGACTCAATGGTCGCGGATCAGCACGCGCATCCCCATCAACTCAACACCTCTCTCTCTCTTCCCCCCCCCCTTCTCTCTCTCTGTCTGCACGGCACCAGCTTCTGGCTGGAGCTGAGGGACGAGGTGAGGGGGCTGTCAGCGCAGTGGCGGAAGATCAACACGCTGATTCCCATCAACTACCACCGCGTGGGCACGTTCGCAGGCAACGTGGCGCACTCGTGTGACACGGGCTTCCGTGACTACCCCGGGGGGTTCATGCCGCGATTCAACGCCACCACCCTTGACGAGGACGAGACCTACGTGCGTTGCGTCACTACCTGCTACCTTGAGACGCGAATCAGGACAACTGTCGTTGCCTGCCTGCATGCTCTCTCATGCCTCCTCAGTGCCTTGCCTTGCCCCCTGCTGCCTACTGCTGCTTGCTACGCGTGTCTCCTATGCTCTCCCTGCTCTCTCTCCTCTAAAGTGCGTCTCATACTGTGCGCTCCTGTGCCTGCTGACCATGCTGTCAGCTGTTGCTCGCACTTCGCAGCTGTGTCCTGCCCCGTGCTGGTGCATCACGCCCTTCTCGTCTCTTGACGCGCCGAGACAGACCCTTGCTCGTTCACCACCACCAGCATGTCCATCCGTGTGTGTGTGCGTGTGCCCCATCCATGTGCATGTGTGCCCCTCCCATGCTCCGTGTGCCCCTCTGTTGATCGTTGCAGTGGGACCATCCAGTGTGGGTGACTATCTCGGGCTTCACTCTCTACAAGAACACCTACGCGGGGTAAGTCCACCCATCCTACCACCCATCCTCAAACTCCCCCACTCTCTTCCCCTTCTTCACCCCTCTTTCCCTTCCCTTCTCCCTTCCCTCCCTTCGCCCCCTTAGACACTGGTTCGGTTCGCCATCCATCACCACTAACACCGTTCTTTACATACATCCCCTTTCCTCCCTCCTCCCCTCTTCCCTCCCCCCCTTCCAGCGCGTTCATCCACAACACGGACTACGTGGTGTTTGACGGCTTCACAGCGGCGGACAACATGTGGGGGGTGGAGATGGCTCAGGTGGAGGGCATTGTCCTGCGCAACCTGCGTGTGGTGGGGCAGACCGCCAACTACGGCAACCCCTGGGACTGCACCGACCCGGACTCCGATGGTTGCGCTCCGGTCTCCGGCTGCAAGTGAGCGCGGGAGGGTGTGAGGGAGTGAGTGAGTGTTTGGCTTGCACTCATGATTCTTCAGCTTCACCACTCAGGGCTCCGCGGTCCTTCTGTGAGAGCTTACTTACTCCTTTTGAGGCGCCTCAACAGTCGTTTCCTGCTGTCAGATCTTACTTACTTGCTCCTTCCTTTTTTCCTCTGTCCTCCTGTACCACACTTCCCTTTTCTCTTTCCTCCTCCACGTGGCAGGTTCCCATTGGCGAAGGGCCAGCAGGGGCGCAGTGTGGGGGATGGGGGGTGGGAGGAGCCGGTGTACGGGCTGGTATTCACGCAGAGCCCATGGTTCACTGACGGGCTCTTCAACAACCTTGTTGACGGCGCTAAGTGCGTGCATGCACCCATGCATCCATGCATCCATGCATTCATGCTTCCATGCATAGGCCTGGGCTGGCACATCACTACTTAGCATGGCCCAGCATCATGCACTCGCATCTCCTCCTGTCCTCCTCCAGGGCCTCATACCGTCGTCTCTCGCACACCCACCATGCAGGTTCGCCGGGTTTGACAGCACATGCAAGCCGTCTGCAGCGGTGGCGGTGGGGGGGGACATGGGAACGTACTGGAACGCCGGCAACAACTTCAAGGTGCCTCACCGCCTCATCACTGCTTGCCTCTCACAGCCCTTCACCGCTGCTCTCTGCTCCCTGCTCTCTGCGCGCTGCTCTCTGTGCGCTGCTCTCTGCGCGCTGCTCTCTGCGCGCTGCTTTTTGCGCGCTGCTCTCTGCTCGCTGCTCACAATCGCAACCTCGTCATTTTGCGTTGTTCCAGAGTACCAAGTGCAGCGGCATTATTGCGGAAAGAAGCATCACCTCGTATTTCTGACTCGTGCTTGCACCTGTGTCCGCGCACCCGTGAACCGTTGCTGCTTGCACGCACTCAAACAAATGTTAGTTTTCCTGCTGCACTAACAGATGCTGCATCTACCTCTTTCTCCTGTTGCTCCCCCCATCACCAACCATCACCAGAACCTCAAGTTCAGCACTGCAACGCGGACCAACCCAGTGGTCGTCCAGCCTCGGAAATACCCTTCCAGAGTAAGTAACCTCGCCACATCAAGCCCGCCCGCACCACCCCTTGTGTGCACGCCGCACTGCCTTGCATGCAGCACTGCCATGCAAGTGAGTGGTTTAGATGGTGATTGCGAATGCCCTCTCCTGTCCGCGCTTCTTGCCTCTCAGCCATGACATCACACACACATGGCACTGCTGCTTCCCACGTGCACGCTGCATGCGCCCTCTCCCCCTCAACGCTCAACCCCTCTCACCCGCTGCCCCCCTCTGGAAGTGCCCTTGGCTATGCTTGTATCACATCTCTTCTCAGATGTGATACGAACATGCCCTGGGCACTACAGCCAGTACAACTTGACACAGGCCCAGCCATCTCAACTCTCGATCCCGCTCTATTCTCTCTCCCTTGCACCTGCCCCTGGGCAGTACGATTCCTCAGAGACGGAGGACCATGGGGAGGCACAGACACAGGTGGCGTTGAGGGACATGGACGGCAGCATAGTGGGGTCAGTTCTGGGCAAGTCCTCTGCTGGGAAGAACAGACGAGCATCTGCTGCTGGTGATGGTGCTACCGCTGGTGATGGCGCTGCTGTTGCTGTTGCCGCCGTTGCTGTTGCTGCTGATGGTGATGATGGTTATGCTACACGCAGTGCTGCTTTCCCTGCACCTCTTGGCAGGCTTGTCCTGCCACGGAAAGCTTCTCCTCTGCACCACCGTCGCCTGCTAGCCGCCCTCACTTCTTCCGCTGGTGCTACGACTGCTGCTAAGCCTGCCTCTCGTCGTCGCACGCTCCGTGTTGCAGCTTCTGCTGCTACCTCTGTCTCTGCTCTCAAGAGATCCGGCGGCCGTTTCAGCAGGCGACTTAGCGACTATGACCCCAGGCCCCGCTCGCGCAAGAAGCACCCCCGCGCTTCCTTCAGAATGTCCGCTTCTTCTGCCCGCTCGCTTGCCCGCTCCTCCTTCTCCTCCCCTTCCTCCTCTTCCTCCTTCTTCTCCACCTCCTCCTCCTCCTCTCGCACCTCCACCTCAAAGAAAGCCACCCCCGTGCCGTACGGCTTCCTAGTGGCCAACAACACAGCGGTGCTCCCCCCGCTGACCTCCTCAGGCACGTACGGCTCCTGCAAGCCCATGCCAGGAGCCAATGCGTACGCGTGCCCCTCGCCCACACACTGCTTCCGCACCGTCAACGTCCGCTACCTCGAGCCCGCCACTGCAGGCAACACCAACCGCACACAGGCCCACGGCGTGATGAGCTTCATCAAGGTGGTGCGTGCGAGAGATGGCGCACAGCAGGCGTTCGACGGGAACTCGGACCACATCGAGCTGGAGGAGGGGGGGAAGAAGGCGGAGCGGGTGTTTGGGTTCACAGCGCTGGTGGGGGAGGTGTATGTGGTGGAGGTGGTGGGGCCGCGTGGGAAGGAGGAGTGGCAACCCAACGAGGTGGAGGTGTACTTTGGGGATGGCGTGGATAAGGATTTCGCTGGCAGCTGCGGAGGCGCTGTGACGGTGCGCTTCAAGGCGCCTGCTGGGGGAGACGCACAGTGGGCCGCCAGGATGACAGATATTGCAGCGTGGCGGTAGGGCTTTTGAAGTCTCTTTTCTCTCTCCCTTCTTTTTCTTTTTCCTTCACTTCTTCTCCTCTTCTTCTCTCCTTTTTATTTCTCCTGTTATCACCCTCTCTCCGGTTGAGCAATTCATCTCCCACATTCTCATCCCCCTCACCTGACGTCTCCCCTCTCGTCTCTCCTCCCTCCTCTACCTCCTCCCAACGGCTCCTCCCTCCATCCTCCCAATGACTCCTCCCTGCAGGCCCTGTACCGGCACCACTCAGCGTGCACCTGCTCTGTTTTCATACGAGTGCGATGCAAAATCAGGGCGGCAGCAGGTGCAGGTGGTGCTGTCAGGCGATGTGGACTACTACCTCCCTGCTGCCGTCTATGTCTCCCAGAACCCCCCTGCACCCTGCTCCACCCCTTCGTGAGTCAGACGTTGCCACACCATGACACCGCATGGAACGGTACACAACGGTACACCACACCACACCACACCACGCCACACCACACCACGCCACACCACCCCCTGCTTCCTCCCCACCGCGGCTTCTCTTCCCTCACCCACCCCGCGCCTATCCTGAACTCTCTCGCACCCTCTCTCCCGCAGGCGTTGTGGCCTGCTGGCACCGCGGGCAGTGTGGCGCTACAACCAGCAGGGAGGCGAGCTACATCCGCGCTACCCCGGCGGTCCAGCCTTCTACAACCCCAACTTCAAGGACTCCTCCTGGCCCTCAGGCCCTGCCCCTCTCGCCTACGTGGATTGTAAGCACTTGCGCTCGCACTTGTGTATGCATTTGCTCCTTCTCGGTACCGAGCGGTGGGCTGCGGTGTGGTTGAGCCATCTGCTGCTGCTACTGCTGCTGCTGCTGCTGCCGCCGCCGCTGCCGCTGCCGCTGCTGCTGCTGCTGTCGCTGCTGCGATCTTCTTCTGCTGTGTGATTTGGGCCCCCTGCCGGCCATGCCACATTGCCATACCCCATGCCATGCACTCCTGCTTTCGTCCCATGGTCCGCATTCTCACTCGATTCCCCCTGCCTCCCTACCAAATCACCACTTCCAATTCTCCCCCCTGCTGTGTGCTGTTTGTCCTGCCAACAGGGGACTGACTGGGACATGGTGGGCACGGTTCTAGCCCAGCCATCATGGGACAAGCTCACCACATACTACTTCCGCTTTTCAAGGCGTCTCAAAACTACTCTTCTTCCCCCACTTTCATGCCAACAGGGGACTGGGATATGGTGGGCACGAATCTGGCCGAGCCATCGTGGAACAAGCGCACGACATACTACTTCCGCACGACCTTCTCCCTCACCAACTCCGCATGCTTCTCGAGCCTGCTGCTGCAAATGCCGGTGAACGATGGTGTGATTGTCTACATCAACAACCATGAGGTGCTGCGCCTCAACATGCCAAAAGGGGTCGTCTCCACTTCCACCTCCGTACGTCGCTCCCTCGCCTTTTGCCGTTCACCTCTCACCTCTCTCCTCAACATTCTCACCTCATCCCTCTCACCTCTCGTCTCACTTCATGCCGCCTTGCACAGCAGCAAATACACGCCGGAGAGCTCGCTAACCCCCCCTGAACTCACCCGCTTCAAACCCACCTTGTTCGCACAACCTCAACACCTCCTGACTCGTCCCATTCCCATTCAACCCCCCTCTGTTGTCCCTCCGTGCAGGCGCTGGCGGATAAAGAAGCGATCAATGACAACGATGATGGGTTCATCTACACGGACAAGACAGTGGCTCTGCCAGGGGCGGCAGCAGCGCCGGTGCTGACAGACGGGGTGAACGTGGTGGCAGCAGAGGTGCACCTCAATCACGACAACGGCTGGGACATAGCCTGGGCTCTGCGCCTCTCCGCTCTCCCCTCGTACGTGCCACAACACTGTGTGGAGCATGGCACGTGTGACACATGCCTGTGTGTCTGTGTGGTTACTGCCTCTTACTCTCTAACAATTTGCTTTAAGACTTTGTTGCACGATTGGCCTGGCAGCTCTGTGTCTCACCCGCCTCTCCTGCTGCCTCCTCTACTGCTCTTACCCTGCTGATGCAACCCCGCAGCTCATCTTGCCCTGATCGCTGACCAGTCATCGCTGATGGCTGGTGGCTGCAACCCCTGGTGGTTGACGAGGTGCACGCGGGGCAACGAGAGGGCGTTTCGTGCGTACCACTGCCGTGGCCAGTCACTTGGTTACCACTGCCTTGGTTACCATTCAGTGGGTGGATGAGTGCGTGTGTGAATGGGTGGGTGGGTGAGTAGGGGGGTGAGTGGGTGGGTGGGTGGGTGAGTGAGGGAGGGAGTTAGAGGGTGGGTGTGTGAGTGAGGTGAGGTGGGTGCGAGATTGCCGCTGCTGACTGTGAGGTGGTACTGGCACCAGGGGGACACGGTCATGGGTGTGTGCTGGTGAAACCATGGTGTGTTAGAACACATGTGCATGTACATATATATGTATGTATATTGTATATGTTATATTAATGTCCTCCTTGGTGCACTGGGGCGCGGAGCAGGGAGAGAGAAAGGAAACTGCAAGAGATGGTGGTGGTGAGGGAGGGTGGATAGGGCTAACCTCTCAGATAAGTTCCAAGCTTCTTCAAACCATTGACCATATTGAGCCTGTAAACAAGCAAGTGCACAAGCAGCACTGGGAAGGAAGGGAATGAAGGGGTGACACGAGCAGTATGGTTGCGTTGAGTGTGTATGTTTGCCGCTGTGCTGTGCATGCACCACAGGTGCTTCTGAACTCATGCCTTCTGGCCTGCATGCATGTAAAAGGAGTACCCCCACTTGATGACAGCCTCTGTTAATAACAGCCTGTCATCATCCAAGGCCCCAAACTGGGCTTGCTCTGGTAAGGTACTTGATTGTACTATATGCCAATGTTGAATCATTATGGATCACAACATCCTATTCCACCTCTGCCACTTAGCTGAAATCTAGCCAGCTGGCAACTCCAGAGGCGTTATACCAAACCCACAGGCTGTTGTATGTCGCCTTGGTGTTCCACTGTGCAAAGTAGTCAATACACTACGCAATATCTACTATGGTAGGTACATGCAGGGAGGAAGAGTAGCAAATCATTTGATCCGTTCTCACACCAGCTAAACAAAGCCAAGAACCGCTCTCAATCGGGTACAGTATATTACCTCAATAGTGAGGTTACCACAGTTGCAAAAACACACAAATCCCAAACAAGGGGGCACAACACCAGCACCACTACATCACCACTAAACTAACACCTCAAAACACAACCCCACCCCAAGTATACATCGTCAAACTGCCGTTATGAACTACTAACAAAAGGTACAATCAATGGTAACTCCGCGTTCACTTGGTGGCGGGCTGGGCGGCGGGCTCGGGGGCCTGGGTGGCGAACTTGGTGCCCTTGTCGATGCTGCCCTTGAGCTCGGCGACCATAGCGTCCAGCCCCGCCTTCTCCGCGGGCGACAGCCCCTCCAGCTCCGACGGCAGGAACGCCTCCAGTCCCTCGCGCCCCAGCTTCACACGCGACGCAAAGAACGGCAGCTCCGTCACCTGTGATGGCGCGAGCAGGCACAAGGCAGGGGGGTTGGTGGGGAAAGTGGGAAATGGGAAGTGGGGAACATGAGCGGGTGATGTGAGTAGTCCAGATGGTGCGGGTAGCGAGGAGAAGTGTATAAAAGGGAGAAGAAACGGAGGATGCGTGAGGCGTTTAGTCGAGGAACGGAGGTAATGGCGAGAGAGAGAGGAATCAGGTACGGTGAGAAAAAGCGTAAACGTACGTCGGAGGCGACGTAGGTGCACTCGAAGACGTCGGGATCGCCATCCATGGCGCGCATGCACGACTCCGCGAAGCGCGCGGCAGCGTAGGCCTGCAGTTACACAAGGCGGTGCGAGAAAGGGGAAAACACGGTGTGTTTAGCAAGTGAGGGTGGAGCGAAGAAGTTTTGAAGGGTTTACAGGACAAAAGGACAGAGTGAAAACACAAGCAGTTGATACGGGAGACAAGTCACTGTCGTCAGTGTCAACACAATAAAAAAGAAGGTGACTGTCGATAGAGAAGGACGAGGGATGGAGAGGGATAAGGCAATGGGATGGGATGTGAAAGGCAAGCGGTTGTGCGAGAATGTGCGAGCGTACCATGGAGAGGGTGGCAGAGCCGGCTCCTGCCTTAGCCTGTCAGCAACAAGGGGGAGACGCGAGCAGGAGAGAGACAGCAGTCAGCGCACGTGGGCAAGCAAGCAAGCGAAGGGACAAAAACATCGATGGACGGAGAGGGGTGGTGTGGGCTGACCGCCACCCGCGGCAGCAACGCGAGCACCAAGTTCTGTTCCTACGTCAGTTCGACTTGTTACATATACTCAGGGTCACAAGTTCATCGCTTTCGTCTAGCTCCGATACCGGGCAGCTCACCTCAACCACTTCCGTGCCAGCGTTTTGAATGCGAACCGTCAGCTTGGCCGCCTCGTCCTCCGTCAGCGTGACGGACGGCTTCGCCTTGGACAGCAGCGGCAGGATGGTGGCCCCGGCATGACCGCCGATCACGGGCACGTCCACGTCGATCATCCTCAGCCCCTTGAGCTCCGCGAGGAAGGTGTTCGCGCGCACCACGTCGAGCGTCGTCACTCCGAAGAGCTTCCGCGGGTCCCACACGCCCTTCGATTTAAGAACCTCCGCGGCGATGGGGACGGTGCTGTTGACGGGGTTGGTGATAATGTTGATCCAGGCCTTGGGGCAGTGGTCCGCGGCGGCCTCGACGAGCTTCTTGACGATGCCCGCGTTGATGTTGAACAGGTCGTCGCGCGTCATGCCGGGCTTGCGCGGCACGCCCGCGGGGATGATGACGAGATCTGCACTGTCCAGTGCCGCGCCCAGCTGATCTGGGCCGCTGAAAGCCTTCACCTGCGGAGGGTCGAGGCAGAGGAAGAAGCGGGGAAAGGTTGACGGGGAGTGGCTAGGCGAAGAAAGGGTGCGTGCGGGAGAGGTAGCACAGCTAGACTGGTTGATTCCGTGAGTACTCAACAGACAGCAGTCTCATTCAGAGGAATAACCGTGAGAGCACGGGTATGAGAAAAGAAGGTTGGCCTTCCCCACGTTCGGCAAAAGAAGCCTCGCGGTGCTGCATTCTTGACCTTTCAGATCGTACCTTTGCGGGCGTGTTGCAGTGGCTGACGTCAGCTCCGACGCCTGCGACGTTGGCGATATCGTACAGGCGTAGCTCCGACACGAGAGGCGACATCTTGAGGAGCAGTGACAGAGGCTGTCCAATCCCTCCTGCCGCGCCAAGCAGCGCAACCTTGATCTCCGCAGAAGCCACGGGGGAAACGGTTTGGCGGGAAGCTGCCGCTGGAATTGTGGACGCCCGCGCGGACAAGATGGCGCGGAGGGGATTGGCGGGAGCCGTGGTTGAGGACACGGACTTCAACCCATGGAAGGAAGCGAAGGATGCGGGCGCGAGCTGTGGGACTGCGGATCTGCGCGATGATGTGTGGGCCGCCTCGGAGAACGACACAGCGCCGGCGGCTGCGTGAGACGCGCAAAGGGCGTTAGCTGCCATGTCTGCTCTCACAGAGGGAAAAGAGGCGGGATAAGGGATCTGCTGGAGAAAAGGGCGGCTTGATCTATCGATCAAACAGAGATCCACACAAAAATAGGCGGGGAATAGTTGTTCGTGAGACGAGACGAAGCTGAATGACAGAATACGAGTGATTTGTAGGAAAGGTGAGTGGGAAGAGAGGGGGAGAGGAGGGCTTGTGTTGGACGGTGGGAGATGGATCCAGTTGGGATTGTGAGCGGGAGAGGGGACAACGATAGGAAGGTTCCGTAAATTTTGTAACGCGAATGAATAGCCGGCCAGGTCGACACGTGGGATCACTCGCAGTGTACTACGTCCACGAAAAGGGACAACATCACCTACATGCGAATTTCGCCAGTGCGATTTGCGAATGTATGCAACTGACGGCTGTCAGGAAAGGCGCTGATGAACCGTTAACTGCCCGCGGTCAGAAAAAACATAAGCCCCGTCCGGATGACATGCGATTGGGGAGCCTCAACCCTAAACACGGGTAACCCCGTGGTTTTTCCGCCGGGCCGACATTTTTCCTCCCATTCCGTCAAATGCATACAATCGCAAACCAGCACTGGCGAAATCTGAATGCCAGTGGAATTGACCGTCCACGAAGGCAACATCTGTAGTGGTTACCCTGTCGTTTCAGCTTTCCTAGTGGTCACGGGTGCTGCTGAATTCTCTGACGGGTTCGCCCACACGTTACATCTGGTTTAGCGGCTCGCCACGCAGCTTAAAGAATGCCACATCAGCACGCGCGAGAAGATTGGGGAACCAATTACTGGGGCTCGTCACCCGCTTCTGTTCCACTTCATCTCGCCCGTGTGGCGTGTTCAAATCAGTGGGTCGCGGTGAGGGCAGTCAGGCCAAAAGCGTGCCGCCTTCCAGCACAGAATCTGGATTTTCTTTGCCAGGCTGACTGGTTGCTGAAAACCTCTTGCGGCGCGGAAACAACCAGTAAAAGCAGCCCACCTTATAGAAAGCTGGCCCAATTATGGGATGGAAACAGGTGGTGCGACATCTGGGATCACAGCATTGGGCCGTGCCAGATCAGAATCGTTCGGGAACTTCCACGACACCCAAAAAAATCGGACCTCCAAGGGCGTCAGTAGGTCGTTGTTGGATGTACAAGTTAGGGAGTTCCAGTACCTAACAAGTCTTCGTTTTATCTGAAGCGAAGAAGTACAATACAGAGTAAGTAGACAGCATGGTAATTGATATTGCGCAAGTAATAAATGGGCTCCTCAAGGCTTATTGAGATTTTTTAGCTCTTTATAGGTCGATTATAAATACAGAAAATAAACTGATCGCGGAAGCTGTCTGTAGTACTTGCCTTGCACATGAGTTTGCTGAAAATCTTTATAGCTAGTACATGAGCGTAATATTATATGTGTCTGTTTGTACAGAGGTGTCTTTTTTGTAAACATTGTGTTGTGATAGCTAAGTAGTTTGTAATGACCTTTTCCGAATTCCTTATCGGGGTTGACTGCTATGCGTACAGCCCGATTTTTGGAGTCTGCACGTTCGGCCGACATCAACGATGCTGGGTTGAGGCTCATATCGTCGCCTTCTGCTGCGTTACGGTGTTGATCGTCCCTATGATCACCTCATGAAGGTTCGCACACGACTAGGTAATGGTGGTTGGACCCTTGACCTCAATTCGGAGTGGATGTGAAATTATTGAGATGGTTAAAACATGCAAAAACATGAATATAAATAATAGTATAAGGTGGAATACGAAGCGACATAGCTAGCCACGTACTCTAAGGAACACATTCCCTTACTGCAACGAAATCCAGTCGTGCAACTCCAGACGGTTACGAACTGCCTGGGTAGAATCCCCACCACTGCTGCTGCTTGATGCTGTCTGCCCTGACGGTCCAAACCAAGGCTTTTTTTTTTTTTTTTTAGCAACCGTTGTGATCAGTGTTGCACCTGTTCAAAAACCTGATTATCAGTGTGACACCTTGTTCAAACCCTGATCCATCAGTGTTTTTCTTATTTTTGAAAATCCAACACTGTTGCATCAGTGTACCAGTTTTTCAAACCCTGGCGTTTTTGGCCAATTGTGGCCCACTTCGTGCCAGTACTGTCAGAATATTATGCTCTAGCCTGTAGTGGGGTGCTCTATAGCGAGTACAACTCTTCTAGGGTTTTGCTATTTGTATTCCCATTCTTGCTAGTGCAACCTTCTTCTTTCTTCTAAACTTTAACATGCTATCAGAGCAGGTCGATCCCCTTGGATCGATCCTGTGGGTGGGCTCACCACCCTGTTGCTTCCGCTGCAACTGCTACTGCTACTCTCTGTGCCGCACGCCCCGTGGCGTGCGGCAGTTTTTCTTCCCGCCGTGCGCCCCGAGGCGCGCGGCGGTTTTCTGCCCGCCGTGCGCCCCGAGGCGCGCGACGGGTTTCTGCCCCGTCACTCGCCGCGTCGCCCCCGGGAGGCGCTGCGACGGGCGACGGGGACCCGCACGTCGCCCCGTCGCGCGGCCCCTGCAGCCCCGTCGCGCCGCCCAGGGGAGCCGCGCGCGGCCCCTGCTGCCCCGTCGCGCGGCCCTGCTGCCCCGTCGCGCTGCCCAGGGGAGCCTTGCGCGGCCCCTGCTGCCCCGCCCCGTCCCGGACCTGCCCCGGCCCCGACCTGCCCCGGCCCCGACCTGCCCCGGCCCAACTCCCGTCGCCCGTCGCGGCGCCCTGGGGGGGGCCGCAAGCGGCCCCCCCCAGGGTCGCCTCGACGGTCGACGGGAGGGGAGTCTACAGGGGGCCGCGCGTTGCCCCCCCCCCCTACCTCCCTACCCTGTTTTTAGGGTTTGGGGGGTGGCGGTTGGGGGGTGGCGGTTGGGGAGTGGCGGGTGTGTGGCGTCGCCTGCTCCTCCTCCTCCTTCGTCTCCCACTGCTGCAGCTGTCGCTGAGGGGGGTGGATGTGTGGGAGTGTACGGAGTGGTGCTATGGGGGTGGAGTGTGAGTAGAGCTAGGGTTTGAACAGGGGGTGTGTGAAATGGGGGTGGGACAGTTGGGGGAGGTTGAATGGAGGCGGTCGTCGTGTCGTCAGCAGCAGCAGCAGTCCGGAGGCTACAATCTCCGGTAGTCGCCAGTCGCCCGTGGGTCCGTTGCTCGTCTGCCGCTACTTTTAGCCGCGGGGCCAGTTACCCCAGTAGTCCGGAGCGCTGTTCCGGTAGCCACTGAGCCAGCAGCTCGTCTGTGTGTCTGCAGCGTCAGCAGTCGCCTCCCATCTTCTCTCCCCCACAGTCTCTCCTCCTCCTCACTTGCCCTCTGTGATAGCCTCTAGCTTTGCTTACATTTGTTAACTATAAAACTGCTACCTCTTGTACTTGTGCTCAGAATGTGTGGTGACATTGTGATCCACCCTGAGCTTGTTTTCTTTTGCTTGCTCTGCTGATTACACCCCACTTTGGCTATGGGGGTGTGTCAGAATATTATGCTCTAGCCTGTAGTGGGGTGCTCTATAGCGAGTACAACTCTTCTAGGGTTTTGCTATTTGTATCCCCATTCTTGCTAGTGCAACCTTCTTCTTTCTTCTAAACTCTGTCAAACTCTGTCAAGTACATGTTGTTAAAATAGTAGGCATAGTTAGGACTAGAAGCTTGGGGTTTAACCTAGGCAAAAGAGATATCCAAGCAAGAAGGGGTTTGAACTATGGAATCACAAGTACAAATAGAGGAGAAGCATGCACGGAGTGGTGCACCACCACACAGGACAACTATGGGACTACACTACAGCTAGAACTACATGCACTTATACAAAATATATATAAAATATATTATGACACACCCCCTAAGTGCATGCAGGAATAGCCATGTGCAGAACACCCACTGAAGTGGTACACCCTGCAGGGTGCAGCAGAAGAAGAGGCGAAGTAAGGAGGAGGAGGAGGAGGAGGAGGAGGAGGAGGAACTGTGAGAGGAGAGGAGATAGGAGGCGGCGGCTAAAGCTGTTGGCACACGGCGCAAACTGGAGTAAATGGCCCTGCTCGCCGGCAAGAGCAACTGACCCACCGTCAACTGGAGCAAGTGGCACACGGGCAACAGGAGTAACTGGCTCTGCTCGCCGGCAAGAGCAACCGACTCACGGGCCACTAGCGCAACGATCTCACGGGCGACTGGAGCTGCGGACTTCACGGCGGCTACCCGCCTTCAACCTCCTCGCATCGACCCAAACCCCCTTTCACACCCCTCGACATCCCTAGCGCCACTCCCTCGTCTCCCCCACACCCTCCCTCGGCTCCCCCCACACCCTCCCTGTCAACGGGAGTCGTTGTTGGCCCCGTCCTCGCTTGGGCGAAGCCGACTTCGTGGTTGGGTGTACGGGAGGTACAGCCGACTTGCAGCAGTGGGCGACGCCGACTTGGGCGAGCTGGTCGACGGGGTTGGTCGTCATGCACGGGGCCACTGCAATGCCGCCGACTTGGGAAGCCGGGGGCCGACTTCAACTGGTGGTCGACGATGTGGCACGTCGACCTGAAAGTCGGCGCCGACTTGCAAGATCACCGACTTGCAAGGTCACCGACTTGCAAGGTCGCCGACTTGCAAGGTCGCCGACTTGCAAGGTCGCCGACTTGCAAGGTCGCCGACTTGCAAGGTCGCCGACTTGCAAGGTCGCCGACTTGCAAGGTCGCCGACTTGCAAGGTCGCCGACTTGGGTGGTCGGCTGACGACTGTGCTGGTCGACGTGGAGCTGGTTGACCAGGAGTGACGTCGACCTGGAGCTGGTCGACCAGTGGTGTGGTCGACCTGGTGAGGTCGAATGGAGGTGCCCGTCGACTTGGGAGGTCGACAGGCACATACAGGAACACCTGGTTGACGTGGTTGCCCGGTCGACCAGGTTACCTGGGTGACGAGGTTCTGCGGAAGAGTGCGACGGTCGCACAGGCGATGTTGGCGAAACTGACCTCGGTGGTGGTATCCCGAGGTCGACGTGGCGGATCAGGTGGAGTCGTCAGCACGGGGATGACTTGGTGTGTGCGTTGTGCAGGT